AGAGGATAAAAATTTACCTTTATACATATAGGCACACATATATGTGAATGTATATATGTGTGTGTATGTGTCTGTCTATCTATCTATTTATCTATCTATCTATCTATCTATCTATCTATCTATATTATGCTATATATATATATATATATATATTTTACTTAGGTAGTTTTTACATAACTTAAAATATGGCTAATTTCTTTTCAACATGTACCTGTAGGTAGTAGTAATGGCTGCTTTATTGTAACCATATAATGTCTCTAGTCTCATTACATATTGCCTCCTTTAATTATCACAGCACTCTGTGAGGAGGAACCATACAGATCATGAAACAAATTTTAGAGTGTGGAAAATATTTATCTACTAGGGCTGGTAGTAAGTGACACAGTCGGCACTAAAATTCAAGGCAGTCATGACACCAGACCTAGATTTTGAATATCAAAGTAATACACCAAACCCTTGTTACCTGCATGAAATCCAACCATGATTCTCTGCAAACGTTTGTCTCAATCTATTGTTGGTGTAATGGGTACTACTGCTTAGTTAACATTTCTGATTCCACTGATATTTTCTTGTCTCAAGAACTGCACTCTAGAGAGCTGTAAAGTAATTTGTTAATAATCAAAGCAACTCATATTTGGATAATGTAAATTTAAGTAGGAATTTTAAAATACATTTTAAAAATTCTAGCCATTTTTATGGCTGATTTGTCCAAAGTATAATCAATGATTATTATCTCTCTCTCAACTGTTATATCTTTCTATGGCATTTGAACTATGACTCTGGGCATAAACTATTTTCCTTTGTGCGGTTATAGATTATGCTGTTTTGATAAGGCAGTGTTGTGAGATTGTGAAAAAATATTTAAAAAATTTTCCCCCGGAAATTTTATGATATCCTTAGGAAGTGCCCAGATATGTTCCTGAAAAGTTTATTATAAATTCAACTTTTAAGAATAAAATAAATTTTAAATGCTAATTATTTAAGGGAATACTCTAGTGAATTATTTTATGGGGCAAATAATTACATGCTCATTTTTATTTGGAGTAAATTTTGATTTTCACATATATGTTTTGCTTTTCCTACATCTGCAGTTATTTGCAAAATTGTACTAAATCACCTCCCCAATACAAATACCACATATAGACATTTGTGAATGAAACAGTAAACTAGAGAACACCATATTTATAAGGAAAGTTTCTAAATCCGCTGCTAATTGAGCTTTATCTTTAACTTTGGGAAGAAATCAAGAGACATTATTTGAGCCTTTGCTATCACAAGGGAATTGAGGATGAACTTCCATTCAATAAAAGAGCAGCAGCCTAAACCGGTTTGACTCAATGGTAGAGTGTCAGTCTGTGGACTGAAAGGTCCCAGGTTTGATTCCGGTCAAGGGCATGTACCTTGTTTGTGGGCACATCCTCAGTAGGGGGCATGCAAGAGGCAGCCGATTGATGATTCTCTCTCATCAATGTTTCTAACTCTCTATCCCTCTCTTCCTCTCTGTAAAAAAATCAGTAAAATATATTAAAAAAAAAAAAAAGAGCAGCAAACAGAAACTGGAGAAAACTCTGACTGTTTCCATCAGCAGGCTGGAGTCCTGCTTTTATCTCAAATGACTTAATTTTGGTAAACTATCCTTGGGCACCAATTATCTTCTTTGAGAAAATGGAAGTAAAAATTTCTGCCCTTCAAGATAAAAAAAATCCAATAAAAATGGACAAAGGAATTAAATAGACACTTTTTTAAAGTGGACATTCAGAAGGCCAAGAAACATATGAAAACATGTTCAAAGTCACTAATAATCTGAGAGATGCAAATAAAAACAACAATGAGGTACCATCTCACATCTGTCAGAATGGCTATCATCAACAAATTGACAAATGACAGGTATTGGTGAGGGTGTGGAGAAGAAGGAACCCTTGTGCACTGCTCATCGGAATGCAGACTGGTGCAACCAGTGTGGAAAACAGAGTGGAATTTCCTCAAAATAATGAAAATGCAACTCCTATTTGACCCAGTAATCCCACTTCTAGAAATATGTCCCAAGAAATCAGAAACACCAATCAGAAAGGGCATGCACCTCTATGTTCTTAGCAGCACAATTTACTATAGCTAAGATTGGGAAACAGCCTAAGTGCCCATCAGCAGATGAGTGGGTTAAAGAATGATGATACATCTACACAATAAAATACTATGCTGCTGTAAAAAAAGAAAGAACTCTTACCATTCCCAACAGCATGAATGGATATGGACAGCATTGTGCTAAGCAAAATAAGCCAGTTGGAGAAAGATAAATGTCACATGATCTCACTCATTTGTGGAATATAATAAACAACATAAACTGATGAACAAAAATAGATCCACAGATATAAAAGCATCAAATAGACTGTCAAACTTCAGAAGGAAGGGAGGGGAGGGAGTGAGGTAAGAGATCAACAAAAGGACTTATATGCATGCCTATAAGCATAACCAATGGACACAGACACTAAGGGGTAGGGGCATGTGCTGGCGTAGCTGAGGAAAGGTCAATGAGCGAAAAGGGAGACATATGTAACACTTTAAACAATAAAGAATTAAAATAAAAATGTCTACTCTTTATACTTCACAAAGTTTACCAAAATCACATATCTGATATGTGAAGGTGTTTATTTTGTAAAGCACAAAGCAAGTTTCATAATAGGTCTAATTAAGTCTGTGGTACCTTAAACATTTCCTCTAGGCATCATGGAAGGATGAATCCTATTCTTTGAAGCTCTGTGATCTTCTCATGCAATCATTGGAAGCAAAGATGAGCCATGGAAAAATGCTGTTATTATTATAATAATCATAATAGAACTCATAATAGCACTTGTAATACATACAACAAGTATTCATACTTTAGGTTCTCAGAACAAATTAGAATATGAATTCCAGTGGAAATCTTAGGCAAAGTTTACTGTCCATTCTCCCTCTCTCTTTTTTGCCCTTTCTTTTCCTCCAAGTGTTTCTAGAGTCTTATGCTTCATGCTCTTGGCTGGCATTTGACTCAAAGATATTGGTTTTGATATTGTGTTCTCTTCATAATTTTTATTAAACTCCTGCCTTCAAAATATCATATGTCATAGTCTCAAAGCCTGAATAAGTAACTAGTTTATTAACTTGATGAGTGGAAAACATTGAAGAAATTCCTGTGATTGAACTGAATGAGGTATCAATGGGAGATCTTGACTTGGATTTCACTGTATCCTAATGACATTGAATATGGTTAGAATCTTTGGAACGTTCCCCAAGAGATGAGAAATGGAAAGGTCATGATTTTGGCTAGCAGACTGTTTTGTATGGCTTAAAATTTGGGTTAAAAATGGACCATATGCCAACTTTAAAAAATATAAAGTTAACTTCTAAAATTCCAGCTCTCTCATTTCTCTTGAAATATCAGAACATGTAGTGACATTGGTTCCTCTATGGCAAAAACAGCAGCCATCGAGGAGCAGCTGGTTTTTTTAGATGGGCAAGCTGTTTTCAGTGTACCAGGATTCCACCTGTTCCACCTCATTTATTTATGTCATCTGTATGGCCCTTGTAGTACTTGAGTTTGTGACCCTTGTTAAATCCACAGAAATAACCTAATTAAATCCTATCTCATAACCAGTTAGTCATGGGTGAAATCATGAACACATGGTTTAAGGTGAACATATGTTGTTAATCTGTTTCTCTAAGTTCATTAACCATGTTTCCAGAATTTTAAGGAGCCGATCATATGTCACAAACTATAACTGGAGCAGCAAAATAAAGGGATAATCTAGAGTTTTGTTGAACTGTTTATTTTTAGATTTCAAAATGAAAGCTGCTAAGAAGTTTGATCTGTAGTTTAAAATAGAACTTCAGCAGCTCAGTAAATGTGAGTCCTAGACCTGTTCCAAACTCCATGCCTGACATTCCTGTGATGTCAGAGTACTAGAAAGGGCATCTCTGCTCTGGGTTTTTACAACATACAGTTATGGCAGTAAAGGGCTCCCATAAAATGTTGCCCCAAGTGATACATTAGACGTAGGAAAGAGGGGGATTTAAGACTTGATGTTGGTAGCTCCTGGAACCTTCTAGAGTTTTCTGAAGGCTTCACAAACCCCATCCATCATTCCCCATGACTAAGGAAGGACAGTTTATATGAGTCAACCTAAGACAAGGAAAAATGGAGCTATGTTAGTAGCAAGGGGCAATTTAGCAGGAGGATTAGAAATCATATTGATTGGGAACAAACCCTTTTCTTTTTAATTTCTAAAGGTCCCTTTCCTCAAGTCAGAGAGTTAATCATCTGGGAGTCTGGAATTAAGTTGTAGGCCTAAAGGAAGGGAGCCAGGGCAGCTACCTAATACTCTTCACTGAAAATTATAGGTCAGAAGCACAAAAAGATTCTGTATGGTTCCGGTTCTATATGGCCTGGAATAGGTCACTTGACATCACAGAAATGCCTCATATAGAGGTTTGGGGTGAAGTGTTTCTATGCTTATGTGAACAAGAGAGACTTATAAGAATGAGAATGACTATGGTGATAACAGATCAAAGAACTAGGGATCTTGGATTCCAAAATGAATAATATATTGGCATTTCTAGAAAACATAAGACCCTCCCACATGTCTGATTTTGGGAATGACAGATTTTCTTAGTTCTCACCAACCAACTGTCCCAATTATCTGCTGGGCCAGGTAGAGAGCAATTAGGGCTTTAGAGAGAGGGGACAGAGCAAATGCTAAGAGGACATTTTATTTCACCTCCCACACAACTAACAATTCAAACTCTCTCTTGAGACCCATGCAAGCTGTTGGCTCAATACTATACTGTATAAACAAATGTCTAAAACTGTCACCAAAGAACAGGGCGATGAAGATTCCAAACCCCAGTTTAGCATTTTCCACTTGTCCTGGATCAGAACAAATTTAGCATAACTAGGAAGAAAAGGACAGATAAAAAGAGCAGCAATGGCAGTCACAGGGAATAACCAATGTGTAGCATGAGAGAAGTTACTTTTTCTTCTTGACAAACTCACAGACAAAGTACATGGTAAGATGGCACTCCGTGTCATTCCACCTGCCTGAGCTCAGCATTTCCACACAGTCCTCATGACCATAGGGGTCGCTGGGCTCCCCCTCCTTCCAGTTGCTGTAGTTCTGCAGTGGGGTGTTGTCGGTAAACACATACTGTCCTTCCCTCTCAAGGTCATTCACCCCGATGAAGACCCGGAAGAAGCCACTCTTGGCTACATAGTCCGCGATGAGTGTGTTGGCAGCTTCGTCCTTGGGCATGGCTAGCATGCCACCCCGGATCCGGCAGTGGGTCAGGGATTCCCTGTAGCTCTTCTCTTCCTGCACGATGTAGTAGAATTTCTCATCCGTTTCCCTAATCCCTGCTATGACTTTGCAGAGAAGAATGTAATTATTTATCTCAAAAAGAGAAAAGGCAAGCATATAATATTCCTGGGTTTAAATATATTTCTTTAAAAGTATACAATTATTTGGCAAAGCCCTCTGATGACCTTGGCACTGGTTTAATTCTTTCTCTACCTTTCTAGTTTTCAAATGGAGAAAGAACTTCTACCAGTTGTCCTCCCTGCCATTCCTGTTTAACTTCCCACACAACTTTGAAGAAAGCTATTTTGACACAGACTTGTTACATGAACTGCAGCCAAGCTCATCTCAGACTATTTTTCCCATCCTGTGTATGCCTTTGCCAAGCTTACAGGTCCATGAGTATGCCTTCTCTTCCAGTTCCATGCTTCTCATGCCTGGGAATTCTTCTCACAGCTCCTCTACCTGGAAAACTCTACTCATGCTTTCAATCTCAGTGTAAGTGTTTTATCTCAGAGGAGCCTTTCCCTGAGCACACACTAGGAGTCTTATCCCCTGTTCCCACTTCTTAGTACTTAACACATTCTAGTCTAATTGTTTGTGTGTCTCTTCTACTAAACTGTGAACATCTTGAGAACAATAACCATGTCTTTGCTATTATGCAGTCATGGTGCTTCCAACATTACAAAAGATGATAGAAGCTTATTAAACTCATATGGGAATAATTCAGGTTTTTCCATGTTGGGCCAATTCCAGAGTTGTGAATACGTACATCTTTTGAGATTGTTCATACTTCATTCCAGGTACATAGCATAGACTGAGCTACTGAGTATGCTTCAAGTCAGAATCGGGGACACAGAATCATTTCCAGCTCAGAGTGTGCTATATATGTTTTGGGTTCAGGGATATCAACATATACTTTTTAGGGTTCATCAATTAAAATGCACAAAGAAATCTGTGACCACTCAAATGTTAAGAATTATTGCTGTATGTTGAACCTCTGAGGTCTGGTTTATTTATGAGTATACAAGTCATGCATCTTGTGCAGAATTATAAGTTAATATTGAGCATTTCCTATGCCTGCAGTATTACAAGATGAGGATGAACACACGATGGCATTTGTGTGCTTCCAATAATGTAAACAAATATAGCTGGATTGCAGTAAATGAAAGTACAACAAAATGAAACCAATTGTGACACTAATTACAATAGTTCCTGCATTCATCATACTGTCTCAGAAGAGAACACATAGCCTCACTTTAAGGATGTAACTGCTAAGGACAAGAGATAGCAAAAATGACTAATATGAAAAGTTGCAAAATTTAAAGAAACACACGTTGTTCCTATTAATTTGTGTGAAACTTATAATCAAATCCCTGCTCCACAGTTCATTAGCTCTGTATCTATGGGTAAGATCATCTTCCTAAGCTTCATCTTCATGATAGCACTTATATCACAATTATTAATATTCCAAGTATTCAAGGAAATGCTTTCATTTTTTATTACTTCTATTTCTTTGAGACGATCGCTCTATGTGAGTCTTGCTGTCCCTTTTTATTCTTAAAGAATGGCTTGCCAAACTGACCTTTTCAACATTACCACTCTCCAGAAAGTAACTTTTTCTACTCACAGTCAATGCAATATGTACAAATATATGTAGTGAACTTGAAGTAGTGTCCTGGAGTTAGAGTGGATAATTAGTATTTTGAGAGACCTTTAATCTGGTGGCACTGTCTTAGTGGTCCTTTGCCCAACCCAAGGTATTTCCTGCTAGAAACACTGGAATTGTAATGTTGAAAAATACTAAATCAATAAATAGCACAAAGCAAAAGAGAATACACTCACCATTTTTGACGAAGTTCATAGATGTCTTGAGGCGAGCAACGCTAATGTCCATTTGCCCAACAACTTTCCGGTATCTTCCACAATCGCAGACAGTACCTTTCAAAGGACAAAACTGTGAATTCTTGTTGAAACACATTCAGGTGAGTAGAAAGGAGCCACCCCTTCTTCCCAACATTTACTATCTTTTTCCAGTCTACTATGTTTCTCTGTGAGCAGCTATACTTTCAATCTTTTATTAAAAATAAGATCTCCAAATTGCACTGCCTTTAGGAATTCAGAATATAGCTTTTAAAATATTGTGAATGGGTTGAAACACAGTTCGAAACCATCTTCTTTTTTTAAAATATATTTTATTGATTTTTTACATAGAAGAAGGGAGAGAGAGAGAGAGAGAGAGCTAGAAACGATGAGAGAGAAACATCGACCGGCTGCACCTTGCACAGCCCCCACTGGGGATGTGCCCGCAACCAATGTACATGCCCTTGACCGGAATCAAACCTGGGACCTTTCACTCCGTAGACCGACGCTCTACCACTGAGCCAAACCAGTTTCAGCTGAAACCATCTTCTTAAAAAGGAGAGTAAATAAGATGAGCCACTACACACATGTTGTGGATCATATGGCATTTTTATGGAACACAGGATCTGATCTCCAGTTTCAGAATAACACTTTTACAACTTTCTGAAAATCGATTTCTAGCCAGTCTTCTCTTCTATTACTGGATTGTTCATTCACTCACACAAGAGCAGGAGAAACCTTTCATGATGAAATAAAATGTAAATTCTGATGATCCACTTGAAGTATAGCTTGAATGTATTGAGGACCAAATTTAAATCTCATGAAAAGACCCAATGTATTATTTCAAGAGCTAGTAGTCACATTTGTGGGTTAATTATGATTTTAATTTCTGCCATTCATTCCCCTTTGCTCATTTACACACACACCCCCTCCCCCTGCCTAATACCTATTGATACTGTGACACAAAAGGAATTGTAAGGAAAATGATGTGAAATTGAAATGATTCTATTTTTTTCTATTTGGTGGCTGCTTCATATAAACATTTCTGTTTGCTTTCTTCTAAGGTGGTTGAAAAAGAAAAAGAAATTTATTAGACAAAGGGAAGTGGGAAACTTGTGGCTTTATTTCTCCATATTCTCAATTAAATAAGGAATTTAAAACAGTTCTTAGAATTAGTCTTTACTATACCCCTATAGACAGAAACTCCCAAACAAGAACTTTCTATCCCTGCAGGTAGCTCTGGAAATGAAACTCTGCAGTATTTGGAGAGAGTGTCCATGGTCACTGATGGCCTGTAATCACAGGGTCTTTCAGATAAGGCCAATTTGCTTCTGGCAAACTGCTGGCCAGTATCTGGTTGGGGTGCTGTTGGAATGTCAGGCATGCTGACCAGGCCTAGTGCTGAGGCCACTCTGGATTTTCCTCTTGGTCTAGCGGAATGAGGGCTGATTCCTCACAGCATGACGGGACGGAATGTGCCATCACCCCTACCCCAGGGCTTGGAAAGTCACCAGCCTATAAAGAGGAAAGTTCCCTTCTTTCTTGTCTTTACCTTGAATAAAATTGGTACACTACAAATATTTTTCTTTTTCATAAAAAGTAAATCTATTTTGGAGATAAATACATTTGGAAAGATGCCAGAAATTAAGGCGAAGATCAACAAGCATACCTGCTTTGCCTTTTCCTCCAGGAATCCCGGGCAAACCCTTTTCCCCTTTGTCACCTGAATAGAAACAATGGCAGCAGAAGTAATAATTAAAATAATGAATTGTTTCAGACAAACAATATCTTCATCAGCTAAAATCAGAAGAAACAGTTTGAAATTAATTTGCAATACCTTCCACCAGCATCCCTTGGTTTTGGATGAATAATTTGATTTGGAGTTGGCTGCACAGGTATAACTAATGGAACAAGTCATAATTGAATTAGGTTGAATGTAGAATTCCAGTGGGATGTGTAAGAAACATTAACATTTGTGTCACCTATTCTGCGAACATGTGTTTGTAATGTGTCTTTCTGAGCAAGGCTAATACAATTCTCTGCATGTTTTTAATTTTAAAAGTACCATTGTTTTGTATATCTGGATCAACTGATTAACACATTGCAGCATCTGTTTATCATGCACTAAAATTCTTCCATATGGCTTTGCCCTTGAATTTTCAAAAACATGTATTGTGCTTTTTCAACTTATTTACCTTTTCAAATATTTACTATTTACTTTGCGCAAGACAGAAGGCTTGGTACTTTGAAAGGCTATAAAGAGACAAAATTAAACTTTTGACTTAAAAGAGTTTACACACTTTTCAAAGAGATGTGATATATGCAAAATCTATAAATAAATCGTGTCAAATAGATTATAATGAAATATCAACCTTGATCATTTTCCCTTCTGCTTTTCTTTGTATGTTATCATTTTCTTATTCAGTCAGAGGCATCCATTCAGAGAATCAGGATTATTAAAGCGGAGAGAAAAAAAATGTTGAATTTTTTTATTAAACTTCAAAATAAGCTCTTTTGGCCACATCAGACACAACCATTGTAAGCAAAAGCCTTTGATTTTCAAGAGGAAATGTTTAGCTGAAGCTCTTGAGAATGAAAAAAGAAGACCCTGATAGAAATAAAATAGAGTTAATGCTTCAAAGGTGGTCTGGAGACAGAAGGCCTCAGGAGGGATAAATACAGGGTAAACGTCACCCAGACTAGAAGGGAGTATGTGGCTTAGCCCTGAGGGGGTTTGGTATAGCCATAGCCAGGGAATTGGGTATATGACCTGAGGGGGCAATGTGAGAGGGGACAAAGTCAGCCTCAAGATTTTGCCTAACCCCATCCTTTCCCACCAAAAGGTGGGAGCCTTTTCAAAACCCATAGGGTGTCCCATGTTTCTGTCCATTAGCTAATCTTTTTTTTTTTTTAAATATATTTTATTGATTTTTTTTTACAGAGAGGAAGAGAGAGGGGTAGAGAGTTAGAAACATCGATGAGAGAGAAACATCGATCAGCTGCCTCTTGCATACCCCCTACTGGGGATGTGCCTGCAACCAAGGTACATGCCCTTGACCGGAATCGAACCCGGGACCTTTCAGTCTGCAAGCCAAGCTTTATCCACTGAGCCAAACCGGTTTCGGCCCATTAGCTAATCTTGTCATCACTGTCTGTTTAGTGCTTCAAATTTTAAAAATACTATATACTATTTAATGTATATATAAAAATATTGTCATTTTAATAAGTAATTGATATAAAAATATTAATGAGATATTTTACTTTTTTGGTATTAAGGCTTCATAATTTGATATATGTTTTGCACTTACAGTACATGTCAGTTTAGACTAACCATATCTCAAGTGCTCAAATAAACCCACGTTGCTAGTAACTATGGCATTGGACGTTCTTGCTGAGTGGTCTTTATTAATAATCCTGTACACATTGACTGCTGATCATCCAGAAAGGAACACCTGTTGATCCCCAAGGACTTGCTGAGTTTTTCTAAACCAACCTACGTGGACACTTTTCTTTACAGTGTTTTCAGTCAGAGATGAAAACACACAAAAGGAGGGGGTCTTTGAAATCCAGAATCGGTTTAAATATGTGGGAGGACACCTCAGAACTTGTGCTTAGAATAAATGAGATATAGTGAAATCTATGACAATGGAGTGCTGATAATACTGCAAGAAAGACCTTGAACAGAGATATACTTTGGGAGGGAGCTAGAAGAAATAGTACTCCAGATGAAAGGATGAAGGAGGCTCTCTTGAAGAGATGGCACTGGAGATTGGTTATGAAAACTTCAGCAGGTGGAGATGGGAGCAAAGTAGAAGGTACCGTACAGGAGAGGCACAGATATACTCTCACTTAAGTTGTGTCCTGCAAATTCCTCATTCTTTTTATGTAAATTGGAAAAGATAAGAATAGATTTTGAATGCATTAAAGAAAGAAAAGAAATATAGATTTGCTAAGTGCTGATCATTTACCAAGTAGTGTTTTGGGTTCTTTATAGATGTTATCATATTAAATCCAATGTACTAGGTACCATCATTATCTGTAGTCTACCACTGCAGAAATTGTGGATCCAGGAGGTACAATAAGTTGCTCAGGAACATCCTTCAATTCAATGGAACTCTTGATACTGAAGCCCAACCATTTCTGATTCCCCAGTTCATGGGACTTCACAAATGAGTTAGCTAATGATTTAATGAAAGAAATAGAAGTATTCAAAAAATGTTATCAAAAGTTGAAAGGGATACCAGTCCTTAGCACCACCAAAAACAACATGGGTTTGAAAGGTCATTTGAATATGGTTTAATATTTTAATTATTTTAAGATAGTGTATTTTCTTAATATGTAAATCCCTTTCAATTTAACATGGGCTAAAAATTGATCCTAGTTCTGGGGTAAGCCCAACAATGAACATAAAAGAAGCATAAACAGAATATTTGCTTTGAAAAAAAATATTCTTAAGGAAATCAAAGCCCATATTAGGGACCAAGGAGATGAGACATTATAACCATCATGTATTAACAGAGTAAAATACAGAAAATATCTGATAGATATTTGGAGAAAGCAAAAATGGTTGTGGATCAGAGTACAGAAAGTTTCACCAAAGCAAAAACTTTTAATTAAATCTTAATAGTGTGGGAAACAGATTATTAAACTGATAATTCGCTTTTTTCCCCCCTGAGAAAATGTAAGCCCTGGATGACTTTCCAGTATTTTGATATAAATTACTTTCCTTTTTTACAGATGGAAAAGATAAAGCAGTGTGGTGGAATGTAAGACTATAAAAGTCTGAACAACCAAGACTTGAATTTTGGCTCTGCCACTTACTAGCTAAACGTGGACAGGCTACTGCATTTTTTAAAGCTTCCATTTCTGATATTTAAAGTGGAAATGATGGTACCTAATATCTAAGATTATTAAAGAGGATAGATTAGATAATGTTATTTTATCATAGGATTATGTCTGTGCTGGGCTCATAGAAGATATTCGACCAATGTTAGCTTCTTTTTTTTTTTTTTTTTTTTTTTTTCAATGTTAGCTTCTGTCTCCTAAATCAGAATTATGGTAACAGTGAATATACCAAGTACTTAGCCAGTCGATGGATGATGTGGACTTATAATATCTGTTTTGCCCAAGCCAATTCTGGTTTAAAAGCCATACACAAAGAGTTATTTTGGTCCATGAGTGGGAAACATGTTTGTAACAAATGCCTTAACACTGAAGAATTAGAGGTTCCATTTAAACAAATAAATATCATAATGCTTTCACTGTGAATGAATATTGACCTTAAGTAAAAGCATTTGTTTGCCATGAGATTTAATTTACCTATATTAAATTATCCTATCTTATTCATGAAATAAAATATTGACATCCAGAAAGCTACCTGTCCAAGCAAGTGACATTAAGACCTGTCCAGAAAGTTGAAATTAATCTGAGTCAGTGAAAAATTTAGAAGGGCTATTGACAAAATGAGGGCAATAAATTTCAAAGTCCGATTAAAAATCAAATTAATCCAGGTGAGCCAGAACAGTGAACCTCCATTTTTAAAAAATTTCAGGACATGCTCATAAATTTTGATGGCATATCTCTGGAGGAGAAAGAAATCTTAGTCAATGTTGAAAATTGATGTCAAGGGAAAGTGGTACTTAAAGAAATAAAGGGTAGAAAAGAGGGCTACATGATTAGAAATAATATATTTACCACTCTTTTTTTTTTTCATCTTTAATGCAGCAAACATCTAGAAAGTTTCTACTATAAAATAGACATTAGGATAAAATGATTAAAAATAGGGTACTCACATATAGTTTATATTTAAGCAAATTGACCCAATAAATCTTTCATTCATTTGTTCGCTCTATTTCAGGGTCAGTAGGGCAAAACAGACAAGGTAATAAGCCATGACAATGGGTACAGTGAGAGAGGAATGCAAGGTGTTGCTTATGCACCTGAGTGTGAATGCGAAATTGTCCTGAGGAAGATAAGGTCAGTTTAATTCTATCCTCCCCAGAGTTACTTTTCCAACATTTGTGAAAATTCATCCATTTTCACACCCAGAAAATCATACTAAAATCTTAATCCTTTCTAGTCTCTGTCATCTACCACTCTTCCAAGTTATCGAGTCTTAATCTATGAAAGGATTAAGACTTCGTTCAAGGTCATGAATGCCATCTCTCTTAGTTGACACATTTAAAACTAGGTTCATGCAACATCTTGAATCACTCATTGAAAAATGAAGTTCTTGAATTCTGGGGATGCTCATGGCAGTGATGTACCCTCCCCCTCCACTTCTGCCCATTCCAGGATAGCACTGGGGCTCTTGTCCTCATCTAACAAGGCTGCATCTCAGAAATCGCCATGTCCAACATCCCACTTTTTGGCTACATCTTTTCATTCCTTCAAGTAGTTGTTGAATGAAGCTGATACAGTCAGGAAAAGATGGATAATGAATTTTACCTGAAGCTTATACAATTTAAGGAGTCATCATTAAGAAAAATAGTACCAATGCCCTGGCCAGGTAGCTCACTTGCAACCTTGACATACATCTCAGTATGTCAAGGTTGCAAGTTTGATCTCCAGTCAGGACACATACAAGAATCAACCAATGAGTGCATCAAGAAATGAAGTAACAAATGCTCTCTCTTTCAAATCAATAAATAAAAATATAAAAAAAATACCAAATTTCAAATAGAAAGTGATTATAAAAATGAATGGTTATACAAAAGAAATAAAATCACTAAATTTAAAAAATAGACAAATACCACATTATCAATGCTCTAGGATTATAACATTTTAATTAATAAATGAATTCTGTGCCTCTATAATTCTTCTTTTTCATACATTATGGGCTGCATATATTTAGCTGCATTCATGAATATCCAATTGACCTAGCACTATTTATTGAGAGGTTTATCCTTTTCCACTGTAATGTCAACTTTGAATAAATCAAGTGTGGGAGTCTGTTTCTGCAAGCTCTAATCCTTTCCATTCATCTATTTGTCTCTGTACTAAATCAATACTATCTTCATAATTGTAACTTTATAATAAATGTTTAAATTCAGTGATTTAAGCCATCCAGATTTGTTTTTCTTTTTAAAGATTTTCTTTAGGTATTCTTGATCCTTTTTTATTTTATAAATATACATTTTTTATTTTTAATTATTTTTAAAAAATATGTTTTTATTGATTTCAGAGAGAGGGAAGGAGAGGGAGAGAGAGATAGAAACATCAATGATGAGAAAGAATCATTGTTCAACCGCCTCCTGCATGCCAAATAGGGATCAATCCTTGACTCCTGGTTTATGGGTCGATGCTCAACCACTGAGCCACACAGACCAGGTTTCACAAAAATTTTACATTGGCTTATTAAATTTCAAGAGAACTACTTCTGAAATGTTAACTGAGATAGCATTGAATCTATAGGTCTATTTAGGGAGAATTGACATCTTAACAATATTGAGTCTTCCAGTCTGTGAATGTAGCTTTACCTCCATTTCCTTAGATATTCTTTAACTTCTCTCATTATCATTACAATAGAGGCCCTATGCACTAAATTCATGCAAGAGTAGGCCTCACCACCCCTCCCCCCCCCAGCTGGCACTGGCTTCCCTCCATCACCCAGGACTTTGGCTTCCTTCTGGCTACCAGCAGGACCCCAGATTCCCTCACAGCCCCAGCTGGAAGGTCATCTGGTCTAATTAGCATATTATGATTTTATTATTATAGATAGCATTTGTTGTGGAGGGCTTACACATCTTTTAACACTTACTCCTAGATATTTGATAACTTTGAGCAGTCCATGTAGCTCTTTCTCAGCTATGAGGATTTCACCCTCAGATGAATATACTGGATCAAAAATAACCAAAGCGATTTCTTTTAAGTGGCACTGCCCTCTATCCCTGCCCTCAAATACAGACCAAAGGAAATTTCTCAAAGGAATGAGTTGGAAGAGAGTAGGGAGAGAAGTACTGTGCTGCAGGATGCCAGGAGAGAGGCCACACCTTAGCTCAGACCTCATCCATCAGCTTGCTCACAGAAACACACAGCTGGCCACTGTGAGACACATGTTGAATTACGCAGCTACTCTAGCATGTGTGGAGGCTGGAAGGTTACACACAGCCACAGAATTCTATCACCCGAGGTACCGAGTTTCCCATGACCTGTACCTTTGCACACAATTTCTTGTATCCCCCTCAAATGCTTTTTTTTTCCATTTCCATAAACATCTTACTGCCCTTTAAGACACAGGTTAATTCTCCATGTCAATCTTGTCTACTCTCCCAGATGGTACTTATAGTAGTCATAAAGTTACTATTGTAATTCTTTTAAAAATATATATATATATTGTTGATTTTTTTTACAAAGAGGAAGAGAGAGGGATAGAGAGGTAGAAACATCGATGAGAGCGAGAGTCATCGATCAGCTGACTCTTGCACATTCCCTACTGGGGATGTGCCCGCAACCAATGTACATGCTCTTGACCAGAATTGAACCTGGGATCTTTCAGTCTACAGGCTGACGCTCTATCCACTGAGCCAAACCTGTCAGGGCACTATTGTAATTCTTTCTGAAAAAGTCCCATGTTCCTAAATTACCTGAGCTTCTTGCAATAAGATTTTGAGTCTCATTTAGTTTGTATTTTCAAACAAAGTGGAACAGGATGCCTGTATAAATTACTAAAGATCAGAAGCAATTACAACCTGCTATGAATAAGGGGCTTTATGAGAAGACAGAAAAAGAGTAATTAGGTAATAAAGAGGAGGTTACCTCAATTTCTGTAATAGAGGAATTTGTAGTATTGAAGCAGAATTATGTACAGAATCAGACTAAAGACAAAAGATGTTCATATATGTACTTTTCAAGTTTCTGTCCTGCTAACAGATCACTGACACAGAATTATTATTAGTCCACTCAAGAAATAAAATTATACTGCCCTCTGCTATCTTGAGTTATATTAATAATTGTTTTCTACTACTGAACAACCAACATATGAATAAATAGAATATTTATATTTAAAAAAGAGAGAGATATCATTTTCATGCCAAAGAACATTTCAGCTACATCAAAGGTATGCTCAATTTGCTTGAAATTGCTGTTGCAGAATGGGAAGATGTGGCTTACCCTTCTTGCCAATGGGCCCAGTCTTGCCAATGTTGCCTTGGTCTCCCACATCACCCAGGTCTCCCTTAACTCCTGAAAAGCAAAGCATGTCATCTTTATATCCTAACATTTTATCTTTCCTTTAAAGATGTGGAAAATATCTGATATTAAATAAAGTGGCTAATATATGATATTCACTCAAAGGAAATACCAAAAAGTGCATTTTCCTATATGTGGTATATTTGTATTAACTATTTTAATAGCATTATAATGGATGTGGGTATGACAATCCTGAACCTGATGATATTAAGATGCTTGCTGATGCAGTTTTTCTGAAAGGACTAAAGCGAAAGATGTTTAATCTCAAGGCCAGATAAGGGGCTGAGTGAAAAATTCTTGCATTTTATTCTAATTCTGTGCCTTGTTAGATCAATTTCAGCTTCACTTTGGGGTTCTATTTCTTCTCTGTTTTACAACCGGATTTGAGTATCTTAAGAATGTACGACACATGTATAGAATATTTTACATATTTATAGTATGAAAGTATTTTAAATCAGAATATCTCAAGTTGAGATCTCAAGACCTGTGGGTGTTTTCTTCTCTTGAAATGCTGAAGATTTAAAGAGCAGTGGTCTCAGGCCGCCACTTTGTACAGGTGGCAGGGAATACTCCCAGTGCTTGAAGACACATGTCATAGTCCAGAAGCCATGTTTGGGTGAGACTTACTTTTGGCTTTGTGAGTAAAAACATTCTCTAATAGCTTTTGTATTATTCTCATCTTCTTTCCTCCTACGCCTTCCATAGTCCACCAGATGTTTGAAAAAGGTGAGAAAATCAAAGGATCAAACAATTTTCTTCTCCTTCTTATCTTCCTCCTTAATTTCTAGGTCAGCCAAAATAGTTGCTTAGCAGTGGCTTTTAAGGGGAGACACAGTTTTGAACATAACTGTGTTTCCAAAATTCATAGTTTCTTAGATATTCTCAAAGATTGCTATTCCCTGGGGCTCCGAGAGCATCCCACTCTAGGCACCCCTAAGGATGAAATTTAAGAAATGGAGCTGAGTCTTGTTGACAGGTAGCTCATAAGAACTCTCCAGTGGCAAGTAACTTTACATCTGAAATACATTTCATGTATCTTTAGAGCAAAGGGCGTTATGAAAGCTGCTAATTCCTAGAGTAAGTCCAGGAGAGAGAAGAGCAATTCTAACATTACAGCACCAAGTTCATATCATTTTACTTACCTTTTGGCCCCATGCGTCCCACTTTGCCGAGCTTTCCCTCCTCTCCTGGATCTCCTTTTTCACCATCATCTCCTTGTGAAATGGAAAATGAACAAGTGAAGCAGCTCAAGAAGCAATATTAGCACACACTCCCAGGATAATATGGTTGGAATTCATCTTTCCACTCAGGGCTTGCCTACAACCTCCATGTGAGATGAAAGATAGAGATAGAGATAGAGATAGATAGAGATAGAGATAGAGATAGAGATAGAGATAGAGATAGAGATAGAGATAGAGATAGAGATAGAGATAGAGATAGAGAGATAGAGCGATATAAATAGACTGAACACCCAGGAAAAGAAGAAACTCCCAGTACTATTTCTCTTTCATTTTTCTCATGTCCAAATCTGTTTGAAGAAATATATTACTGGTGAATCCTGGGGAAGCTTGTTTGGCCTGACAAATCTATATTCTTGCTGGAGAATCTGGCAAATTCTGGAAACATTTACATGTATATACATTAAATATATACAGTAGATAGATGTATAGCTCTCACTATATCAATATATATGTTGTTCTGTTATATGTATATGTTTTGTATAACATGTATAATAGAAATATATAAATATTATTTGTAAAATAATATAAATTGCTATTTTAAAAGTATAGAAATATTTATATACACATCAATTTATTACTCTCTGATTGCATGCTTGGAAACCCATAGGCAAGGACCAGGAAGCTATGAACAGAAGACTAGCGAAGCCTGGGACAGCTGCAGAGCAGTCTGTGTGAGTAGCGACTACCTGATGACTGGTGGGTTCAGCTCCTGTACCTCACCCAGTCAAGAAGGACTGAATAAGTGGTTTAATGAAAGGTGCCCTGGTCTGTGAATCAGGAGTTCTGAATTTTCACAAGTTCATGATTGAGCTTATTGGCTTTGGAGTATGACAGATCTGGACTTGAAGTTTGGAGAAAGTTGTCTAGAGAAAGTTGGGTTGCCTGACTTCCTTTTCTGGGTCTCATTTAGCTCTCCAGCAAAATTAACTGCTAACACTTATTAGAGAGGGCTCTTAAGAAATTTAAATAATATAATGTGCATAAAAGACCTGGGATTTAATCAGTTCTTAGCAGTCGTGGCTATTTTATTTTCTCCTTTATACTTAAGTTTCCTCATCCTTAACATTGGGATAATACCTGCCTTCCTTACATTTCAATTATTTTAGGATCAACAAGTGAGGCATGTGAACATGCTTTGAAAACAAAGAGCACAACACATACAATATTATGACCAGCTCCCTGCATTATCATCAATCTCAGGACATGAGGAGTCCTGTCCATCACCAGTGGAAGGAAGTGAATAAAGGACTTCTAAAGACAATTAAGTTCTTGGGATTATGAGAGAGAGAAAGAAAGAGAGAGAGAGAGAGAGAGAGAGAGAGAGAGAGAGAGTGAGAGAGAGAGAGAGAGAGAGATATTCATTTATTTATCCAGATAAAGCCTGGCCAGCCATCCTCTTTTTTTTATTTTCCTGAGAGAAGGAAGTTAATATTATAGACAGAAGCATAAGCAATGTACGGAAGACTTGGATTTTCAGGTAGCATCATTGGTCAAGTGTTGGGATATTTCACACAGGAAGCTCTTGAATCTCTGGGGAAAGGCTTTCAAAATAGATTGGGCAGAGATGATTTGTCGATCAGAACAGAGGGGTGAAGTGAATGGCATTTCTCTACAGTTCATAGTGAAAGTTTACTGAGCAATTATAATGTGTGCCAAGCACTGTGCTAATGTAATCATCATGGAAGTTCCAAAAAGTGATGATTATTGTTGCCCATTTCATGAGTGGAAAAACTGAAGCTCAGCAAAGTTAAGTTGCTTGCCTATTGCCATAGAGCTTTTGAGTGGTAGAACTATGATTCAACAGCAGTATGTGTATCTCTGCCCCTCCAGATCCCTACAGGTAAACAATTCTCCCTCCCAGTCTAGGTTTCTGTGACTGCCAGCAGATTGTGGATTTTAGAGAACTTCTCTGTGCCAAATTTTTCTGAGAGAAAAAGGGAGAGGCAGAAAGAATGAAGGTTCCCTTTTAAACAAGGATGCTAGTGCAGAAGAAAAAACACACAGCTTATCTCAATGACAGCTCACAGGGAACATGCCCTTGAGGTAGTTTCGTCTGAGACCTGGCTTCACCATTCACCAATCCTCACTGGGAAGTCCTCAACCATTTTGAGACTTGTTTTACTCATTTGTCAACTGGACAAAAGTAACACTTTTTTTTTAGAGGGTTTTTTAAAGGTCAACTCAGAAATGTATGTTTCTCTAGGAAGCCCTTTCTAACACTTTCAGGCCAGGCTGAATTCTCTAATTATCTTCATTGTTTAAAATATCACTTTATACTGAGGGCGTCACTTTATTTGTCTGCGCTTAGCCCTATGACCTGTGAGCTGAATCCATGAATGATTTATTCTATCATCACCAGAATGTAGCACAGTATTTGGTTCTGGAGCTTAATAAATACAGTTGAACTAAATATATTCTTTGAGCCATCAAATGTTTTATAAATGTAATGACAGCATTTACTGAATGCCATATGAAGGTTCCTAGTATTTGATTGACATGCATCCTGTCATTTGATCTCCACAACAACCTTTCCAATGGATACTATTCTTAGCTCCAGTTCACAGATGACAACATAGGTTCAGAGAGAGGGTAAGTAATTTCCCAGGGTCACATAGCTCCTAAGGAATAAAGCCAGGATTTGAATTGGAGCATTTGTTATCAAAATCCATGTTTTGAACGAACTGTATGATATGGGAACACATTCCTGTCTTAACATTTCTGGGTTTGGGATTGCTATTCTGTACAGTGGACCGAAGATGCTCACCCAAAGGCAAGATCAAAGGCTGGCATGCATATGAAGCATTTTGTGAATCGTAAAACCACAGGGATGTGAATTATTGGTGCCATTATTATTTCTGATTCGTCTCCCCCTTTCCTGTGAGCTCCCCTATTCATTCAAGCAAGTACCTAACTGGAGGCAATTAGATGAGTGACTTAGTCATCTGCTGCTCCCTGATGGCTCCTGATGGGAGACCTGGGAGGGTGAGGATAGCATTACTATTCTGACCTGTGTGCCTGCATCCCAGCCTAGAGGTGAGCGGGCTGCTGGCAGAGATGAAGTAAGCATACTACATGTGCCCTTGCCTTCAGCATGGGTCTGCGGTTCATTTGATCTCTGGGACTTGCTTTAATGAAAACAGAGACGAGGCATAAGAACAAGGTTCGGAGAGGATCCCCCGCATGGCTCACAGCCGTCTGCTTTTATCCTCTTGGCAATATTTCATTGGATTAGCAGAGCAATTTAGAGTTCCTTTCCTTCTTTTAAAAATAGCTACTTCCATTTTAAATGTAAGTAAAAAGCCATAAGCTAAAATGAACTCATTTCAATTTTACAGAAATGGTCTGTTTCAGCACCTCCAGGCCACCGGCATGCTGTGATAATCTCTCCAGCAGAGCACATAGTTGACCACTTTTTCTTAGTATTTCTTTGTATTAGGTAGGATATTCCTCACCCCCCCCCCCCAACAAGCGAAATGCTAAAATTAAATTCTAGTTTGAAATGAAATAGCTGAACCTAGGTCAGTACCCCCTGCTCAAAGGAAGTAATTATTAAACATTAGTGAATTGGCTTTAGAAATACTAAAGAAAATTCACTGGAAGCTGTTCTTTTCCCACCATCAAAATAATCTTATGAACTGGGGAGAAGTTGCTAGCAATCCTTTCCCTGATCAGCACTAGAACTGAATGAGGTCGATAGTATGATGTCCTTTGTTAAGGAGGATAGACTCCTACTTAAAAGATATCCTTCCATCTCTACTTACATTGTTTTCCATATGTGCCAATTGCTTTCTCATTGTTGGAAATGTCAATAGTCATCGATTATTGCATGGCTCTCTTCTGTACACCAGATAGAAGAATATAGTCTTAAAATGGACCACCTCCAGTACTCTCATTCCTCAATTACTGCCTCATCATTTCAATGAAATACTCAGGCATCCCTGGGACCTGCTATTGTTGTCTGGTCTCCATTCAGCCAGTTTATTAGCCCCTCTGTGCCTTCATCTCCTTTCCCATATGTCCTGGATTCTTTCAACTCATCACTGCCTCCCAGTACTCCCACAGGAGGACTATACTGAATTAGTGAAGACAGGTCTGGAGCAGGTCATTTCATTTCTCTGAGTTCTCGTTTTATTCATAAAGTTGAGAAAATGATCCTACTTCATAGTACTGGTGTAAAGGAGACAATGCATGATGAGTGTTCAGCACAGGGCCTGGCACTTGCTAAACTCGCCCGTTCTTGTTTCAGTAGGATTACTATTGTCATCATCATCACCAGAAATGACATCCCTTTAAACTTCCCTTTGTATTCAGTATCTTAAACTTTATTCTATATTCATTACTTACTTTTTTTTACTTTACTTTTAAAAATATTTGCTATAATATTTAATATAAACATTTTACACATAATGATACACAGAAATAAATATACCCATTACTAAGATTTAACAATTAACATGTTGTTCTTACTTTATATATTTATTTTTTACTGATTTTTAAAAAAGTAATTAAAATATTTTAATAAAATAAATAAAATAAAAAATTTTAAAAAAGTAAATTATAGACATCATGACAAACCTTCCTTAAATATTTCAGCAAGTGTCTCTAAAAGGTCAGAACATTCTTTTATGTAAACATAGTAATATAATTTTATTACTCTTACTTTTTAAGGAACTATAGAATTTTCTGAAGTCACCTTCATAGAATTCTGTGATCTGGTTTATTAATGAAAAAGAAGTAAGCACTAAGAAAGAAAAGCAGATAGTCAGAGGAGTAAACCTAGGTTCTTTGAGGAAAAAAATCATGACAAACAATTCCATTTTCTTCTCTGAGAGGACTCTTAATAAATCAGGAAACTGCCATGACCAGAGTGGTTGGAGGAAGACAAATTTCCATTGGTCAATCATAGAAGACAGAGGTTGCTGGTAATCTGGAATGATATATTGATAAAGCCCTTGGGCTCCACTCTTAATATA